AAGGGAAGGCAAGCCCTTTGCAGGGAAAATGACACTACCTTAGTAAATAACACAGCCGATTTAATCTTGGGACTAAAGCCTGAGCCTTAGCATATTTGAGAGCGATCACACTGATGGCAAAGTGGTTCACCGTTCTGGCTTTCCTTACTGAACGGCTCTATACACATTTCAAGCCAAACAATTTCTTGTTTGTTGCCGGAAATGTTTCTGTTTTAGTCTCGGGGGTGGTCTCCCTGCTTTCCTAGGTCAGCTTTCTTATATTTGAGACTTGGCGTATGGCAAGGTAGTCAAATAGCCATATGCACGTTGCTACAATTGCGTTTTCACATTCATTTTGACGTTTAGATCAAAATGCTAAGTGTTGGTTCCAATCTGTTGGCAATAGGAATTTCAGTACAGCTCTTTGGATTATGGAGTTCTAGAATGAAATGGAGGCTACACAGGACGACTCGCGCAGCTGCAGTCCTCTGCGGGCCGCAGCCACATGTGCATCCTTTCAATGGCAAAGCCTCTTCCACTCGGGCTCATTTCCCTCCCTCAGTTTGACTTAATTCCTAAACGTTTTGAACATTGATCCCCGAGGTTTTCAGCGCCCTGAGCCTCGTCGCCCGCTGTTTGATAGGTTAACTTTTCAGCATCTCAGACAATGGTCCTGGCCTGTAAATTCTACCCATTGGTTCCAGGACGCAATCCTGAGCCCAGGCTCTAACAAGCGCTATCTTAATCTCCCCTCCCCACCCCCCACCCGCCGCTTCCCCTGTGGTCTGCTTTTTTCATACACAGAGATGAATTACTTTGAGGATCTAATTGGCCTTGTTTCTGTAACGTTTTAAGAAAGGGAAGAGGAGCCAGTGTAAAAGCCTGCTCGACTTGGGTGGTCAGGGCTGAGGCTGCCCCCAATTTGCCTCATTGCTGATGCCTGCGAGTGCGACATTCCCAGCGATGATGTTGTTCCTAATCAATCTGCCCTTATTTACATTTGTAAGCATTGTCGGCTTTAATATGCATGCCCTGTGCAGGGGACCGCTGTGCCACACCGGGTGTGTTAACTTCAACCAACCACAAGGATTCCACCGACCCGAGATTGGGGGGGGGATTGCTAAGGTGACTCTGGGAAGAGGACCTTTACTGGCGTTTCTACCTCCTGGAGGGTACCTCATGAGAGCTGCCAGTGAGAGCTTGGGGCCTTCACCAGCAGGAGTGGCCAGCCTCTATGAAGCAAGAGCTGAGTGTTCCATTGCTCGTTCCAAGGAAAGTTCATCCCGACATAAATTGTCATTTTTGTCTCCCCATCACCACCCAAGACTCCTCATTGGAGTGTTTACTTTTCAAAAGAGATTCCTTAAACTCTCTGGATTCCCCCCCACCACCACAATCTCCTCCCTTCTCTGTTCTAGATCTTCAAATATCCATGAAGATGCCACACACACCTCGAAAATGACAGCAGATTATCCTAATGATAGGATGACACTGAAATAAAACATCTGCCCTTTGTGGTAGGGTATTCCAGTGATAAGCAGCTGTGGGAGCTGGCCTTATGGGAAAACCCCCAGAGATCTAACTTCTCACTGGTCTCTCAGAGCAGACCAAACAGGTCTTTACAATCCAGTGTAATTTAGCTAATTTTTGCAGAGCATAAGTGAATACAGGGGTCAGCGAGTTCCAGTAATTTGGCCCTTGGGCCATTTTTAAAATTTTGTCTACAGAGTTTAATATTACTACCCTCTTCCAGAAATGACAAGAATGACAAACATTACAGTATTCTTGCTGAGAGGCTGGGATGAGGAGAGGAATTGGGGATTTGATGTAATATTCGCTTTATAGACTGGCAGCCCAAAGATATAAGGAGTGAGTGATGAGCTGGGGCCCAGGCCGTTCAAAGCAGGTACCCTGGGTAAGGGCTGGGTCTTAATTCAAACCTGCATGCCACCCTCCACCACATTTTCTTGGCTCCCTAAGAATGCCTTATTATTTTCTCATTGGCAGCTGTTGTATTTACTTAAAAGGTGAAGGTAGAAAATGAGTCTACAAGGTTTCAAGGCGGAGGGAGGAAGTGAGAAACCACTGGGCTTGACTCTCCTCCCCTTCTCCCTTCCACCTTCTGTTTCCTCCTCCTGTTTCCCTCCTCCCCAGGCTGGAGGAAAGGGAACCG